CTGTGCTTGTCTAAATGCTTTTCCTTCAGTAATATTCAATTTTGATCGGTTTTATAGTCAGTTTGAAAGCCCTTTCTAATTCCTAAAGCCTTGCTATCGTTTCACTTTTGATTTTTTGAGATGGGGTGACATGTATCACATTGTCAAAACATCATTTTCAACTCGGGTTGTTTCATTGTCTCACTGATTTGTTTTGAGATTAATTTTGAAGGTTGGCTTATCTATTGTGATAATGACACAATATCTTAATATAGTAACCATCAGTGATTACGACGGGCTCTCCCTTTGCAACAGTTCGCTGGCAATCACCGGTCATCCTCTAAAAATCGTTTCCATCTCATTCAGTTAAATCTTGCGAAACTCGTCATGGAGACATTGCTCATTGTTGAATCTTAGTTGAAAAGATGGTTATGCTCTTGAGCAAGGCTTGAACAGTAAAGGTGATACCGAAGTACGGAATCAGATAAAGTTGGCTATCATTGTGTAACCTTTTGCAGGGGTTTTTTTTTTTGCAGCATTTGGAAAGAAGAGAGACACCGCCCTATAAATAGAAATCCAAAAAGGAAAACAAGTATTAGAAAAAGCGTTTAGAAAAGCTATATTATGTAACACTCAGACTTTGTATGGAATAGAATACCGCTTTGATCAGCACTTTGGGAATATTCTTTCTAAAGCGGGGAGTCACACGCATAAGTCCTATTGAGATGTTGTTTATAACATATGCTTATGTGAAGTGATGCAGTTATCTTCGGGATGATCATTGCAAGTTGTAGACCGTCATTTCAATTCTAATTTCATCACGAACTCTCTGGAAGCTTTTGCGATTTGCATTTCATTTCTCTAGCGTATTGTTTTGCTGTAGTCTTTTGTTTTTACCAAATTCTAATATTGTACTAATTCAGACATGTTTCTCTAAAAAAAGAGCTTGACGCCAAGAAAGCCGAACTGGAAGATCTTCTTGCTGAAGGTTAGCAGTGGAATTAAAACGAATACTGTTGCCAGTATTCCATCAATCTCTTTCTAGGAAAGCGTCTTTCTGACCATTCTGGCAAGCAAGCACGCGAGATTAGACGATTGCGAAGTGAACTCACCGAGCTGGAGAAAATCAAGACAGAAAGGAAACGTCTCAAGGAAGAAAAGCTGCGAGCGGAAGAAACAATTGAGCTTCAAAAAGAGGAGATGATTTCCTTGAAAGGCGTGCCTTTTCACTTCTCCCCAATATTTAGAAAAAAAACCTTTGTTGATATCTTATTCTTTTGAAAAGTGAATGTTTTTTCTGAAAAAGCCAGAGATTCTCGTTGTTTGGGATGGAAGGATGAAAACATAAGTGCATCATTTTTTGAAGATGGAGTTTTTTAAGGTATGATAAAACAGCTTGAGGGGAATGTTGAACATTTGACGAAAGAACAGTCGATGCGTGCCGCTACTTCCGAGGTCAGTTATTGTATAATTTATTTTATTGACTGTTGTATATGATTTTTTGAAGTTTTATTAGGTTGCCCAAAAGCATGTACTTGAGCAAAATAAGCTTGTTGCTGACTTGGAACGGCAGTTAGATGAGGCCCACAGGCAAATAGATGATCTCACTCAGTTCAATAGGGTAAGTCTCTCACAAGGGGGCAGCATGTTTTCTATTGTAATAAAATTGCATCTAAGAAACTCACGAAGGAGACGGAACTAATGCAGTCCGTGAATTGGTCCGAAAGGCTTGCTGGAGAACGTGCGAATGAAACGGCGGCCACTGTCAGTGCCGAACTACAAGAGGCTCGTGCGCATATTCAACGTCTCAACTCGCAGCTAGAAAGCACAGAAAGTGTATGTTGCTTTTGTGATTTGTTTAGCCTCAAATGCTCGAATATCTGCTATTCAGCGTTTGGAGTTTGTTCTCAATGAAAGGAACAGTGTTGCTCAGTCAATATCTCAAGGTTAGAGATTCATTCGATTTATATGTTTCTTATTTACAATTCATTGCTTTTTAGCAAATATGCCGCTGCTAGAGGAAATCAGTAATTTAAAGCAGGCGCTTCATCATGAGCAAAGAGCTAGTGAGGAAGCTGACGTCAAAATGCGCACTAACAAGAAGGAGCTTCAGCTCGTTCGTGATCAGCTC